CTACATTATAATATCTCAGCCATTGGGTACATCTAAAAGGTCACATTATAATATCCCAGCCCCTTGTGGTGTTTCTTGTATGCATAAACATTTTTCTTGCTTTGAACCTGTTTCCCTCCCAGGGCTGTTTTTATTCTCACTCCCAAGGTCATAATGCGCCCCAACTTATCTCTTTGTTCTCACAACAGTCCCTGTTAGCATCACTGAGCCTTGAATCTCCTTCCTTGTTAGCATAACTGTACCCTGGGTTTTTTCCTCTGTTTACCTCAGGTGGCTGGGACCGACTTCTGCAGGGAGCTATGGCCGACGAGCTCCTGCAGGGAGCTATGGCCTTGTTCTGCGAGCCATTCTCCAACATTTTACCAATCTTCCTCCTGAACCAGGTGAAGGTTCCTGAGAAGTCTTAAACACTCCTGAAAGATGAACATGCATGGAACTGTGGAAGCAAAAATCTCGTGGTAAAACACACACACAAAGTTCTGTGTTTCCTTATGTGTACAAGCCCCTCCAACCCATCATCACTCTCACTCCTGTGAACATGTCTCTGTGTCTCACTGGTATTTGCTGATGAGTTTACAGCACATCAGTAGCTTACTATGCCTGTGCAGGGAGGTAGTGAGACAAGTCCCTCAGTAGAGGAAGACACGTTTAGGTTGGGGGAATTTTAACCCATCAGCCCATGGCACAAGAGCCCTGTCCAATTAGTTTTCACCCACAGAGGTACATGCAAATCTGGATGGCATGAAGGGAGGGAGGGAATGACAGATGGCCTCACAAGCTGTACTGCAAAGCAAGCTCTGAAGGAGGGACAGCTTCTTTGCCATCTTGCTTACCTGAAGTATTGTTGGTCAGCATAGTCACCTTCTGCCATGTCAGGTGCAGGGGAAATAGGAACATCTAGCAACCCCTTGGGAGAGAAACAAAGGCTGTGTCAGGGTCAGAGATGGGAAGGAAGGGAACAGTGACCCTGCTCATCTTTAGATGACATAGATTAATCTCACACAAATGTATTATACTCCTTCACAGATCAAGATAGAGCTGTCCCTGACTGCACACATGGTTGGTCCTACAACCCATGATCCTCTTATATTAAAAAAGCACAGAAGTCCTGCAGGATTTCACCTTAACAGCTCACATGGGACAGCCTGTGCAGGACATGGCAAACCAGTGCCTCTGGAGAATACTGAGCTGCAAGAGTTTTCATAGGCAATGGTGCAGACACAAGCCAAAATAGAAAAAAACTCTGTGAAAATAACATTTTGTATTCTGAAGCACCTAGAGATGTCAGACCTGTCATGTCCTGTACAATTATAACAGTTCCTTCCTTTGGTGTAAGGCCAGATAAAATGAAGAGAGGAAGCTATAAACACAAAATGCCTGTGCAATGCTCGCTATGCAAAGGTAGAGGGACAGGCTGGAGACAGAGTTTCTTCCCCGATCTCAGCCCAGACTATCCCCTGTATTGCTTTGCTAGTCCTGCTGATGTGATTGATACAACACCCGGCCTTTGCAAACTGCCTCCTGTGCTAGGAGGAATCTCATCTTTCCTGCAGAGGGAATTCTCTGTAACCCTCAGTCGTGTCCTGCTGACGTTCCTCATCCCTACAGGCTTAGCCCATGAGAAACCTGTGACAGGTTACAACTGAAGCAATGGCCCACAGTGGCAAATGTGGTAATTGTGAGCCTTGCTGGCACAAGTAGCAGTACAAATGGGATCTGATAGGGATGTATGTTTGCACTTGTCAAATTAGCTCATTACATGACATATATGCTTACTTCTGTCTCTTGAGGCTAGTTACTGGGAGACAACCAGCCAATGGGGCAGGAAGCCTATTGCTTCAAAGTGAACTCCCCAGGGCTGACTTGAACCAGAAGTTTGTTTTCACACAGTGCCAGTGCTCTGCAGCAGCATGTCTGGTACAATATTGGGATCCTGAAGCTGAAGTTACTGTATCAGTCAGATTCCAGGTGGCAGTGCTGTGTTTTGCAAACGTATTAAGAGACATAACCTCTCCCACAAAAACAATAGGACCACAAGAGATGAAGCTAGTCCTGGCTCACAGGGCATGATCTGCTGCTTTTCCATATCACTCTTAATTCTTTTTAAAAAGCCAAATATTTACACATGATCAAAGTGCAGGAATATGTGTTGCTAAATGAACTCCGTGTTAACTCCCACCTTAAAACAAAAATATGTCTGTCTCTTATTATTACTATATTCAGTGGAAAGAGCTTTCCAGTTTGTTTTAGAAATTCCTCCTCTCCCATTTCTTCCAATGAAGCAGACTTTCTGTGTGATGAGGCAATGTACTCATTCCCTAAACTCCCTTCACTGATAACCTTAATTTCCCCAGTTCCTTCTAGACATGTCGCTGAAGCCTGCAACTGTTCCTGCTTTCTAATTTGTTACTGTATATGATGTTACTGTTATTTCTTATTGTTCATTTTACTTCTGAGCCAGAAGGTCCAAAGTCAAAGCTTTAACTGACTCTGAGCTCTGAGGCTCCTACATCTTGATGCCAAGGAGGACTTCAAAGCCATTTGGCCATCCTCCTGGATAACAGACACAGAACTATGTCTTTTCTAAGCCAACTCTGTGAGGCACAACAGATGACATACCAGAAAGGACATATCTTGATCAAAGAGCTAAAAATGAATAAAGTTGATCTTTCGGAAAAAAAACCCAAAGAGTGTGTTTCGCATAGCCTAACACTCTGACTTTCCTGACATGCAGCTATGGAGGAAAGAGGGAGCTGTCTCTCCCAGGCAGAAAAATAACCTCCTCAGACAGGTGTAGGAATTAGTATGCCATTCTCACTGGCCACCAGACGTGGTCAAAAATGGTCTCATGCCTTCCACATCTGGCCAGGCCTCCAAATTATGAGATTTCAGTGACTTTCCAGACCTGAGAAGTCTCATGGATGTCAACATGAAATTGGATCTTTCATCTCTTTTTAAAGAGATAAAAGATCCATGATTTAACAAGAGGCAAAGCCTCTTCCGTAACTAATTCTCTCACCTGGTCCATGATCCCTGATGTGGTGCCACAGTGATTCATACAAGCAGGCAGGTCCTGCTGAAGTCCAGGTATGGAGGTGGGACGAAGGCTGAAGAGCCAAGATAGTTGCTAATGAACAACCCTCCCTCTATCTGTGAGCTGTGGTCTCATGTTGTAAAGCTGCTTTTCCCACCCAGCACAAGCAGATCACAGGCAACGAAGAATTAGAAATATTCAAAGATGCATCATCTTAGAAGTAGATTTTATTCATTGTTAGAAACTGAAAGATCAATAGAAGTCTACTGATCATTCTTAGAAAAATTGTTAAAATACAAATCAGCATGTTTTTTCTTTACTTCCACCTTCTTTCCTTCCCCGTACCCTGGGCTGGAGACAGTTACTAGATCTCATTGCCCAAGGAACAATTCTCCCTCTAGGCCTTGTTGCGCTTCATCTCAGAGACCTTGTAGCGAGGTGGGGCACGGTGGAACCACTCTGACCAGGAACCATCATAAACAGCCACATCACGCTTCCCACACAGGTAGGCTGCCAAGGCAATGTGACATGCTGTGACACCTTTGCGGCACGTGGCTGTCAGTGGCTTTGAGAGATCCACTTTATTCTCATAGAATATTTGTTGGATCTCCTCAATACTTTTCTCATGGCCAGTTTCTGTTAGGAATGAGCGGAAGGGTATGTTCACAGCACCAGGGATGTGACCAGATTCCAGCCCTGCAAGAATGAACAAGAAAAGGAAACATGAGCAAGGAGACATTAATGCAGGTGATGAAAGACACATACAAGAGATATTAAAGAGACATCACTGCAGATACTCCCATTGTATCCAAGATCCTCATTTGTTTCAGGTGATGATGAAGATGCAAAGCAGTATTGGGCTAAAAAGAAGAGGACAAAGATTATTCAACTTTGCTGGTCAAAACTTCCAGAATATTTAGAAAACTATTTTTCCCCTGAAAACAATGAGAGGTAGGAATGTGAAGAAACACTAGATGTGGCAAGAACCAAAGAACCACCACAGAAAAGATCCTAACAAAGGCATTAAGGGGATCTGTGTAAAGAGAAATGCAGCAGTGTATTTTTGACCTTCCCCAGGTACATCAGCAGTGTGTGGTGACACAGCTTTTAGAAGCAGGAAGTGCAGCCTGTATGTAGAATTTGTCAAAGCAATTATCTGTTCACAGTTCATATCTGTTTCACCTTAAAATCATGTTTCAGAAAAGTAAAGCAACCTTAAAGTCAGCCACATTACTGCTGAGGCAGCTCTCCCAGGGCAATGGGGTCAGAGAATTAAGAATTCAGATTCTGTATCCACTCCATGGATGAAATCAGCATGGGTTCTATCTTCCTACTGGTGTAACTTGCACTTTAGGCAAGTTGAAAGTTGAATCTCAAGAACAACGTCTTCAGAGAGAAGCAGATATAAAAATAAGATGGATAAGATTTTCATCATGCCCTTGACATTCAAACTTCGTCACTATAGGCTTAATCAAAGTCTATTAAACCCAATGGAAGCTCTTCCACTGACTTTGAGAGGCTTTGGATCAAGCCTTATTGGAGCAGCAAAAATTATATATTATTATAGAAAACTCATTTCAAGGAATGGCTCCTTCCTAGGTTTGAACTTGTAATGAGACAGCCCTGGAAAAGTCACATAAAGAGTAATCTGTTTCACTGACAGCTTTCCACTTGCCTAAGTCATCAGGGTAACTTATCTCAGGAGATGGGAGAAACTGGAGCAAGGAACCTTTGTCACAGTCAAATGATTAAAGTATACCTAGCTAGAGATTGACATTACACATCATAATGATGCGGCAGAGTGATGTCATGACACGGTAAGATATGTCATAAGGGGAAACCAGGTTTCTGGTGGGGTATTGAGGAGGGAATTTTTGCTTTGCTGGACAAAGAGTGAGGGCCTAAAGACAACCAAAGCTGCCCTGAGTCAGCTTCACAAGATCTCCTCCTGTTCCAGATGGACTCTCTTTGTCTCTTGATTTATCCTCCCTGAGCAACTTAGAAATCTGGCACTGTTGTCTACTAGACAACACATACATCCTTCCGAAGTGTTTAGTGATACAGGGAGAAGTCAGGAGAAAAACTGCTGACTTCTGGAGGAACTAACATTTAAAAAAAAACCCCCAGTGTTTTGGACTGATGCTTTCACCATATTTTCTCCAGTTCCATAAACAACAGTTCATCACTTCAGTACAGAGAACTGCCAAACCCATGCTCATTAACATAGTGTCTGTATTGTATGACAGAGGGGAAATAAAAATAATAAAAAAGAGTGTGAAAAAAACCTCCTTTGTAGTTTGCAGACTGCAGAGCTTCTTACTGAAGAGTTACATGTCTCTGTTAGGCTACCACTTTCCCACAGAGTGAATGGTCCTGACCCTGCCATTTGGCAAGGGATTTCTGCAAGGCTCTGCCGCAGTACTGGTTATCACCCCAATACAGACACATCTGTGAGCTGCAGAACAATGCTCTCACACCATCCTAGGGCACCGGGAAGTGTACTGAGATCAAGAAGTCTTGGGGGCTGAACTAGAAGGACCAGATCTTGCTCAAAGCAGCTTGTTGGGCCACAGATTCAGGTCTTAGGTGTCCCAGGCCCCATCGTCATGATTGATTGTTTTTCTAGACTGTTCACACATCTTAAAATAGGTAGGTCTGTACCCCTCTCTTATTGGAGACTGCCATGACATATACTCACCACCCTTAAACAACCCTTCAGTTAGGATTACAGCAGATCTGAAAAGAACAGTCTCATTTTAGAGCATTTTTGACTTTGACCTACAGGGAGACTTTCTTGTGCCAGAGATTCAGTCTGCTGGAGTCAGAGACCAGTGCTTGCACTCTACAAGTGAAAGGGAATTCTGTACAAACTGCATTTACCCATGTATGTGGGTGTTCAGCTGAAAAAGAGCTGACATTGCACAACCACAATCACTTGGACTGCCAAAGAAGTGCTCTTGAGTGTTGAGGAAGTTTTATCAGCTCTCCCTCTGTTAGGACAAGAGCAGAGAAACTACAAGACTGGAAGGCAAGGCTGGATGCAGTTGGGATCTGAACATGTGCTCCTGTCTCATATGACACAGAGCATGCAGCCACCTTAGAAACTCCAGGAAGGAACCCTAGGATTACAGAGACTGGCTCCCAGCTACTACAGTGATCACTTTATAGGCTTCGTCTCATAAACGCACACATCTCAAAACTGGTTTGAATTCCTACCATGAAACTTCCCACTGAAGCACCTCCTTGCTCATGTGAAGAGGAATACTCATTACCAATGTTAACTCTGTCACAGTCCATACTTCATTTATCCTTGAGCTAACGTTGCCCTGTGGCTGAAAGTTTTTCTCCCGTTCTGCTATTGCTCCAACATATTGACGGTGAGCACTCAGCACTCCCAACAGCCTTAGGCCCTTAGCCTAAGCCAAGTAAGAGCCTGTTAGATACACTTTCCACTACCTTGACCACTTTAGAAAGAGTTCTAGGTGACCACCAGGCTTCTGGATAAGAAAACGGCATTTCATAGCATCTCAAATGGTAGACAGGAGGTTAATAATTGCTATTGTCAAGGCCAAATCACATCTGAGGTTCTTGCACCCAACTAATACATCCAAGTCTTACCCTCTTCCATTGCTTCCAAATGCGGGTCTTCAGCTTGTGAAAGACACACAAGCGATTAAGTGTTTTAGGCTACTAAGCATCCAACCTTGCTCTCTGTAGTGTTATACTTCCTGTCACTTCTATCACTGCAGGTGGTACCTCACAGAACACTCCCCATGTGATCATTTAAACCTTCCAAAGGCTGTGTCAGAAGCACATTTCAGTAGCAACTTTCTATTTTCAGTGTCTCAATGATTCAGAAAAATACGAAGTAAAGCAAAGAAGCATAATGATGGCACCATGCTGGCAACTTCCAGCCCCACAGATCTGCTTTCATCACAAGCTATTCTTATCGCCCTTATTTTCCTTTCAGTCAGTTTTGGGTTTTTTTTTAATTTAACAGTACTTGTGCTATTTGCCCTCTTCTCACATTGAACTAATAATTGTCCCTCTAATATTATGTCCAAAGTATTAATGAAGTCCAATGGAACAAGTCTACCTTTCAGGGGCTTCCAATGGCTGGAAGGAAAGGTCAGACATAACTTCCAGGCATGCATATTCCCATTTCTGTTATATGGCAAATCAATTCAGTTGGCAAGGAAATAGAGCCCTTAGCTGCAGTGCAAGTTTACCAAACTATTTGATTTGATTTGGCCTTCATTTAAAATAGTTATTCTTGAAGATTTTTTTCAAAGCCTTCCAGTCTACCCACCTTAGAACAACAGATCAACAGTTGCCTAGGTTGCGCTGTATCACCTATCCTAAAGTGTTTCTGTCCTTCAGAACCATGCTCTAATTAAATCTATTAAATTCTTGCCTCATGTAGTTGCAGTGTCACATGACTGATTTTTGACACATATTTGGGATAGAGATTGTCTGCCTCACAGATTTGAGCACTTGAATATCTTTTGGTTATACATCCTCTTTAGAAATGTTCATTTCCACTTCTTTCCCCTTCTTCTTGCTATCCCCTTCCCCCTACTCTGCAGATTTATTCTCAGGAGATATAAAAAACAACAATAGCACAGACTCAGTATAATTCTGAGGCTGAATACAAATAATCTTTCATCTGGAATCCCTGCTAACTGCATAGCAACCCTATTTACTCTTTCTCTCCTTGTTCTCTTTTTATTCACTTTGCTCCAGATGTTTCTGTTATTTGTTTTAATTCCCTTTGCCAAGTCTCACTCAGCTTGGCTTCTGGCAATCCTCTCTCACAATTTGTAACCTATAATATGTTATCTTCTTTACTGCCTAATCCCCTTTTCCACATCTGCTGAGATTCTCTGATTAAATATATATTTTTTTGCTGGCTATTTATCTAGCTAAGACTACAGCCCCTTCTCTCTAGCCCCTTTGTGATGAAATCTCCAGATGGAATTTCTTAACATCAAAAAGATAAAAGATGTGCTTTGTCCACATTTAACTCCCCACGGTCTCGGGGTTGGCTGGCTGCAGATAGCTGCTCCTTTCCAAATGCCTCCTCTGTTGCCTTCTTTTTTATCTTTCTCCTCCATTCAAATTGTACGCCTTGGAAGGGACCCTTATCTCACCTAACCTACCATGAATTCATTGGAAGGAACACTTTAAACTTGGTCCTGGCCAGCTCCCTGAGAGTCCTCGCAGTCAGACCAATAGGCCTTTGCCACCAATGTCAAAATACTGTGTGTGTATACAGCCAGAAGCGTCAACTGTAAGAACCAGCAGGGCCATGATGCTAATTCTGGCAGCTGATGTTTGTCAGCCTCGTCACATGAGCAGTCAGCTTTGGATTGTAGGTTCCTGTGGATTGAAACAGACTTTGATAAAGTCTCTCACCATGTTGTGCCTTGAGTATTACTTCATGGTCAAAGTAGAGTTAGTCCACTCCCAGCTGCAGACTCCATTTGGAGAAGAGAGGGAAGAAGCAGTAACATTTCATTCTCACTCCCACTGCCACTGAACATTCAATATGAGCAAAAGCTTTACGTTTGGGGCAGAGAGGACTGAGAGCTGGCAAAATGGGCAAAACCTTAAGAGTTGTGTATGTGCAAGGGAGACAAGGATACTCAGGGCCAGCACTATTAACCATCATGTAATTATTTTTATCACCGGCCCCAGGATTGCTTGGGATTGTCTCAGTTCAGGCTGGTTCCATAGACCTGCACCCTACAGCGCCTGAGTAATCAGGCCCTTGCAGAATGTGGTTGGGCCATTGCTGAATCACAGCTAGTGAGTAGGCTTGAGTCACTAGTTCCTCCAGAAACGCTGCACTGTGCAGGGACACCTTTCATCACTCAGTGCATAGGTCAAGGCTGCACATCATGCATGAACATCCAAGCTTTTTTATGCAAAGCAATACCTGCATTTAAGACCTATGAGATCTGGCTTACAGAAATGCCATCCATTTTTCTCCACCCTGGTAACCTGGGTAAACCTCTCCCAGCAACTAAAAATCAGCAGTATATTACAGCTTATTTTAAACACTACAGAGGTCTAAATCCCACCAAAGTAGCTGCTGTGTAAAAATAAAACAGGGACAACTAATTCTTAGCACAATGAACTGAAAAACTAAAGAGGCAAAAGAGTCAGCTGAAATTAGCCTCTTCTAGAGATGGAGTTCATGGAACTGGAGAGATTAATTAACTTAATTAGGAAGTCAAGAGCTGAGACAATAATTAAACTGAAATCATCTCAAGACCATTCTCCTTCTCTAAATTGCATGCAGCACTCTCATCACTGATTGGATGACCCCTGTAATTAATCAGCATTGATTTCAAATTGCTCTTTTAGGTGTAAGCACTGCCTTTTACCCGTTGTTAACTGTAGCACAGCTACTGGCTAGTCTGATTCATAAGGCTGTCAAGCTTCTCTGGAACAAGCAGCTGCAGCTGGAGTGCTTATCCTGTTGGATCTGCTGTGGGAAGCAAAACCGGACCACTACAAATAAACTGTTCCATGCTGACTCATTACAAAGGAAAAATCTGATTTCAAGATGCTGTCAGGGGCTGCAGTATTTGTCACCTGGTGACAACTCCCACTTTGGGAAAGAGAATGCAAAATCCACCTATTCCTAGTGAGGAGTGTTTTATTCACATCATGAGGTTAAATTCAACCTTTGCTTTGATGGTAAAGAAACAGTATGAGTGGTAAGCCTAACTCTCCCTGCAAGTCTCTGTCACTCCCGTTACCTCTCTCACCTTCCACATCGTCATGGAGGGGCTCACTGTAGACACTTAGCAAACCATGTGTACAGAGTCATTGACAACCAAACACCCCTGAGGTGTGGACACGGGAATTTATTTCAGGACATGGTGTCACACTCAGTGGCTGTGCAGCAGCACACATGTAAGAAAATAGCCAGAATAAAATGACAACCAACCTGTAAGGCAGCAACACAGCACTACCTTGGGACAGCAGAAGTCTGCCACACACCCTCTCCTGCAGTGTGGAAATCAACTCAGAACCAACAACTGTTGCTTAGCTTTTCTACGATTTTGAAACTCTGTATTTCTTTTTAAACCATTTCTGTGATTCCCTTTTGGAGGACAGGTTATTCTGGAATATACTAAGGCTTAAATTACACAGTAAGGGCCTCCTTTAACAACCAACTTGAATTTCATTCCACTAACAAGATACTGCTGTACCAGCTGCCTGCATTGCATAGGACTTTTCCCACCCCTGTTGCTTGTGTGTCCAGTGTTTGACTGAGGTAACAAACTCAGGGTTTTTTCTTTACTTGGAGCATCCAGAAGTGAAAGGCTGACCATACACATTTGGGATGGGTTTGGAGCTTTTCTTACTTAAGCTTGTTAGATTTAAAGGTAGAGAGCAAAAGGACAAAGATCAACTCAAGCAAGTTCCATATTTGCTGGGAACCAGAGCAAGAAGAAAAACATGCCTGGGGTTACTGCACTGCCTAAAACTTGGGCTTTTGCTGGTGCATTCATTATAGTGAGAGGTGCCTGTATAAATACTGATAGTTTGTGCATGTCTGTTAGTGTTAGATAGAACCCTGAACAAACCTCTGGGAGCTCTCACCTCCCGTGTTTGCATTCTGGCCGATTAACTTCTGCAGGGTGTGGGATGTGGGATCCCGGAGCCAACTGACTGCAGACCTTTTCTGCTCTCCCCTCCTGCAGCTTTACAACCAACTACAAGAAAAGCATTCTATGAGGGCATTGGCATCCAAATGCTCAACTGTGGACCCCTTAAGGTAAAGCAACTTTAGGCTGAAGTATGCCTGTGTATTAGTAAAATCTGTTTGCTCGCTGGGAGGAGTTGTTACACTGGGACTAGTATCGGCACTCTGGTGCTGGGGGCAGGTGCTGTTCCCACCACCTCCGTTACCTTGGTCCAGCTCGGTGCCCCGGAACCGGCCTTCGGGGCGAGAATCCACCACCTGGAACTGCAGGGACCCCACGTTCTGCATCATCTCTTCAAAGGTCTTCAGCAGGGCTGTGTTGAGCTTCGCCTTAAAGACAGCCAGGGTTGGCTGGCTGACCTCCGCTGTGACGGGGTGGCCCTCCTTCACCCAGTTCTTGAAGCCACCGTTCAGCACAGAGACCTCCTTGTGCCCAAAGGCCCGGAACATCCACCAGGCGCGGGGGGCATAGAAGGTGCCCAGCTCGTCCCCATCGTACACCACCACGTGGGTGTCGTTGCTAACCCCCAGGCGCCCCACGTAGTCGGCAAAGTGGGACTCGCTGGGCAGCATGAAGTCGTAAGGGGAGGACTGGTCCCGACATTCCTCGATGTCAAAGAAGGACGCCCCAGGAATGTGCCTCTCCTTGAACTCCTGCCGGGCGTTTCGCTCCTGTGGCGGGTACCAGGAAGCATCCAGTACCCGCAGGCTCGTCCCCACCCTCCCGGCCCGCACGGCCTCCGAGAGCCATTTCGCGGTGACCAGAGCCCTGCCGAGCACCTGCGGCGCCATCCCGGAGGGCCGACACCGGGAGGGGGCGC